GGAGAGGCCTTTGTTGTACTGATGTGTTTGAGAGTAAAGGCCAGTGGTTTTGTGGGCATGGTACTCATTGCCTCCAGTTGGGAGGCTGTGATGTCAGCAAGTCTCAATGATGTCAGCATCAATTGATTGTAAGATGATTCCTTATTTCTCAAATTATTATTTTCCCTTTGTAATAAGCAAGTTATGGGAGGTACTCTGATTGGCATCCATTGGTGACTCTTATGTGAATCAGTGGCTACAAAGTAATGATTTTCTAATTCCATCATTATATCTGCACTTATTAATTATGCTGTAAGGAAGATTTTTCTTTTTTTTTCCTTTCTGCGTCAGAGTCTCACTCTGTTCCCCAGGCTGAAGTCTGGTGGCACACTAATGGCCACTGCAGCCTCTGCTGGGCTCAAGCAATACTGCCTCAGCCTTACAAGTAGCTGGAGCTCCAGGCATGCATCACTACTCCCAGCTAATTTTTTGATCTATTGTAGAGATGAGGTCTCACCATATTGCCTGGGTTGGTCTCGAACCTGTGGGCTCAGGTAGTCCTCTGGCCTCCACCACCCAAAGTGCTGGGATTATAGGCATGATCCATCATGCCCAACTGGAAGAGCTTTTCTTTTTTTCTTTTTACTTTTGAGTCAGGGCCTTATTCTTTTACCCGGTCTGGAGTGCAGTGGCACAATCATGACTCACTGTAGCCTCAACCTCCTGGGCTCAGGCAATCCTTCTACCTCAACCTTGCAAGTAGCTGGGACTACAGGCACACACTATGCCTGGACATTTTTAAAAATTTTTGTAGAGACAAGGTTTCACTGTGTTGCCCAGGCTGGTTTTGAACTGCTAGGCTCAAGCAATCCTCGTGCCTCAACTTCCCAAAGTGCTGGGGTTACAGATTTGTGCCACTGCACCCAGCCCCTTCTCATCTTTTATGATGGGATGGACTCATGGATTCTTGTTTTATTATATGGGTTACAGTCTACTATATCAGGTCATTATTTATTTGATGCTCAAATTGACCTAGACTGGGCTACTGGAAGTTCACCAAGTTGGCACCAGAGTGCTTTGACATATGCCCATTGATTTTAAGCACTTTTTACATTTTGGCACACAAAGAGTTTCCAGGCTTCTCTTGTATCTCCCTTGCCCCAGTTGTGGGATCAGCCATTTCTCCGAGGCACTCTGGTTCTTTTTTTTTAAGTTGGAGTCTCACTCTGTCACCTAGAGTGCAGTGGCCCGCTCAGGGCCACCGCAGCCTAGACCTGATGGGCTCAGGTAATCCTTCCACCTCAGCCTTCCAAGTAGCGGAACTATAAGTGCCACCCCACCCAGCTATTTTTTTTTTTTTTTTTTTTTTTATTGTAGGGATGGGGTCTCGCCAAGTTGCCCAGGCTGTGCTCAAACCCATGGACTCAGGCAACCCTTTCACTTTGGGCTCCCAAAGCGCTGGGATTATAGGTGTGAGCCGCCACACCTGGCCAACTCTGGTTCTCTTTAGGGTGATGGTGTTTGGAATTAGGATCTGGGTAGCAATAATAAAGGTTTAAATGTTCAATTTCCTGTATTTCTGCAGATGATGTTCCAAAATCTTCAGCTTGTTGAGTTCTGGATCTTGTTGTTCGTGACACTAGTTTTCCACAAATGTTTGGCAGTCTGGGGGGAGTTGCTCATCTTTGTTTTAGTGAATGTATGTTTGCTCTGTCCACTCTGTCCTTTGTTCCTCAGCTTCCTGTTTTTGTCAGGGGGTGATGGGACAACAGCTGTTAGAATGAAAATCAGCAACCCTTTCCCCTCTTGCCTGTTCAGAGGGGTTCCAGCTTTCCCCACTCCATTTGTTTACCTCCACCACCCCTCACAGAGTTTGCTCATTGTCAAGCTGGGTTCAGGAGCTTTCTTGTTGGATGATGGAAGAATGGCGCTCAGGCTCCAGCTGGGAGAGTGTTCATGTTTTTGAGATAAAGGGACACTGGAGAAGCTGCAGAGTATGAGAAAAGAAGTTGGTTGAAACATTTTTTATAACTGTGAAGCCACTTCGCAGTGCTTCTGAAATAAAAGTAAAGGACAGGCATTACTCTGACATATGCTGTGTTTTGTGGAAACGTCTCTGGATTGACCCTTGTGGGTCAGAGGGGTCATGCTTGTCTCCTGGTGTGGGAGCTCCTCACCTCGAGTGGGCCAGCAGCTGCCCTGGAAGTGGGGCTCTAATTCTGACCCTTCCATTGCCCCCAATTGTGTTAAGGGGTGGGCTCCCCCAGAAGCACATCGATTGGTCTAGCAGCCTCAAATGTTGTGGGTTATGATTTCTCATTGCTGTTTCATTTTATGCCTGGTCTTTGCTACTTTCTGTTTTTCAGGAGTTGCTAAAATTCCTTGATGTGCTTATGGTATCCTTTCTTGTTTTCCAGTATTTTTGCATATTTTTATTTTCTTTCCCCCATCGGGTTCGGGGAGGGTGCTGCTGTGTCCACAGCTCACTATGTTGTTTTTGTGTTCAAACACAGGTGAAGGGTGTTTGAACACTGGCCCATGAAACGGGCTTCTACTTGGAGGACACTGAGACAGTCTCCACCCAGAGTTATTAGATGCTTCTGTGGAATAAGAAATGTAACAGATGATTTTTTTCTAAGAGAAAGAAAGGGTCTCACTCAGGCTGGAATGCAGTGGTACAATCATAGCTCACTGCAGCCTCCAATTCCTGGGCTCAAGTGATCCTCCCTTCTCAGGATCCTGAATAGCTAGGACCACAGGCGTATACCACCATGCCTGTTTTTTTATTTGTTTTTTTGTTTTTGAGTTGGAATCTCTCTTACTCCATTACCCAGGCTGGAATGTAGTAGTACGATCATGGCCACCCCAGCGTCGACCTGCTGGGCTCAGGCGATCCTTTCACCTCAGCCTTGCAAGGAGCTGGAACTACAGGTGCATGCTGCCACACTCAGCTAATTTTTTATTTAATGTAGAGACGAGGTCTCGCCAAGTTGCCTGGGCTGGTCTCAAACTGGTGGGCTCAGGCAATCCATTTGCCTGGCTAATTTTTAAAGAAATTTGTTTTGTGGAGATGAGGTCCAGGCTAGTCTCTAACTCCTAGCCTCAAGCAGTCCTCCTGCTTGGGCCTCCCAAAGTGCTGAAACTACAGGCATAAGTTATTGCACATGGCCCAAATGAATTTTAGAATTCTTGCTGTTGTGGGGTCCTAATTAAAGACTTGTTTAGTCAGAAAATTTGCATTAAAACCTGGTGAGTTTTTTGGGTTTTTTTTGTTTTTGTGTCAGATTCTCACTCTCATCCAGGCTGGAGTGCAATGACACGCTCACAGCCACTGCAGCCTCAACCTGCTTGGTTCAGGCTGTCCTGCCCCAGCCTTCCAAGTAGCTGGAACTACAGACATGCACCACCATGCCTGGCTAATTTTTTGATTTTGTTGTAGAGATGAAGTCTTGCCAAGTTGCCCAGGCTGATGATCTCGAACCCGTGAACAATCCGCTCACCTCGGCCTCTCAAAGTTCTGGGACTGTAGTCATGAGCCACCATGCCCAGCCAATCTTGGTGTTCAAGTTTTGGGAAATTTGGGCTGAGTGCTATGTATGGCAGCTATCACCTGTAATCCCAGGACATTAGGCAGCTGAGGCAGGAGGATCACTTAAACCCAGGAATTGGAGACCAGCCTGGGCAACATAGATATCTCTACAAAAAATTTTTTTAAAAGTAGTTGATCATAGTGGTGCAAGCCTGCAGGCCCAGCTACTCAGGAAGCTGAGACAAAGATTGTCTGAGCCCAGGAGATCAAGGCTGCAGTGAGCCATGATCAAGTCACTGCACTCCAGCCTGGGCAACCAAGCAAGACCCCGACTCAAAGAGAAGTTTTGTGAAATGCAGTCATGTATATTTTGTTGCATGGAAAACACCTTGTCTAAGAGTCATTATTTCTCTAGTTATCCCAGAAACCTCTGGATTGACTCCTACATGCCACTGGCAGAGTTACCAGTTAGCACCTTTCTTTACCACCTTCCTATTGAAGAGCGCCAACTAAACAAGAATTGGATGACGTGTACCATTTATGGAGGCAGTTGATTCGCTCTGCTTATTATGTGCTCTAAACTCCAACTGAATATCCTAAATGACAAGACAGCATTACCCTAGTGGTTCAACTTAGTCATCAGTAGAACCTGGCCAATAACAGCAAGACTGAGAAGAAAGAAGATATGGTGTGGTCTGCTGCTGGGTTTCCAATCTTCCCAACTCCATCATGCGTCAGGTCCGGATGGCTCTTGGCTGCTGAGAGCTGCACTGGGGGTGGGCGAGATTCAAACCTGTGGTCAAGATGATAAAATACCTGAACACTTGCTGAGCGCTGTTAAGACCTCACATTATGGATAGATAAAGTTCAAGAGAGGCTCTGCTTTACCCCCAGGTCAAACCATCGTGGGCAGAGTGGCCTGCATACCGTTCATGTGCATATTGATATTTCAGCACAATGAGTGCACAAAGCTTAATGGCAAATAAATTTTAAAGAACAGTTATTTGAATTAGTGACTCCTACAATAAGAAGTGCTGGTAACCTTGTTAACCCCAACAACCAACTCTACGAAGTCTAACCTGGTGTTCTTATGGAGATGAGTATATTCAAATTTTGAATACCTATTACTGAAAAGTCACTTGATCTTCTGACAACTATGATATTGTTTTCTCAAGTGTATTTACCGTAGAGTCTGTAGGATTTTGAAATTTGTGTGTTGATACTGCAGGAATAATTGTAGTTCTGAGCTGGACTGTCTAGTCCAGTATCCATGTCTTTGCCTCATGTGGAAGTCCCTGAGGTCTTAATATAGCGTTAACTGAAACTGTCACATCAAATAGGGCCTGGAATAATGAAAGTCACATTCATGCCAGATACTTTTCATTTTGCCCCATATTTCTACTCACTTTACCGAATACCTTTGCTCTGCAGAAGTAAACAAGGCCAAGATTTGAAGGGCATCACTTTATTCCAAAGTTGGTCATTATTGAGGGGGATCTTTACAGTCTTCCTTCACTTCTTCCCTCACTTCCCTCCTTTCCCTCCTTTTTATAAATGCTAACAAGAATTAAGATGGTCCTAAGATACCAGAGGAATTAAAAGAGGTGAAGGCCATACACATTTTAGTTCATACTTGGCACATCTTGGCCTTTACCCTGTGTGAGGCAAGGAGAAAAAGACATGCAATTAAAATTACGCATAAATGCAAGGAATGACTGAAATTAAAGAAAAGATACTAATTTCCTTTCCCTTGCTTGACTCAACTAGGCCTTTGTCTCCATTTCTGACTGAGTCAAACAGGTGTTGATTTTATCTCACTGCTTTGTAGTGGCTGAAGACTTGTTTCCAATATTGGCCAATGTTGGCTTCATTTTAAACATTCCCTCTAGGAAAGAATGACTTTGTAGCATATGATTAGGAAGAGAGGAGGAACGAGAGAACAGTTTCAAGTCTCCAACCACAGGAGGAGCAAAACAACAAAGAAGCTGTAGAATACAGGGTGTGGCAAAAAGTTGGGGTCCAGGCCAAGCCATCTGAGAGTCAGACCAAGCCAAGGCTCGCACTCCTGGGAGCAGGTCCCACCGAAAAGCGTTCCAGTCCTTCTCATCATGAAGAAATGGCCAAGCCCAGGGCAATGAGCAGATCACGCACACCACGGTGTATCTAAAGGAGGTTTCCAGGGAAGATTCAGACCGCTGCTACTGATGGTCTCCACATCATCCCTGACTGGATCCCCGGGCCTAGGAGAACTGGGCAAGTCCAAGGTGTCTGGTCAGAACAGGGCCTGGGGCTCAGGTCTTGAACATCAGGAAGCCCCCAAGTGCAGTGCCTGGCAGGCTTCTCTTTGCTACTGATCCCTGGGTTAACTCAAACCACACTCTCTCCCCCTTCTGCAGCTCTGCCATAGCAAAGGTGGTTGCAGTGCTTCCACCCTTCTGTCCGCTAGAGCAGACCAAGGTCCGACGGTGACCTCCAAACACCAGCTGCCCAGTGCCTGGCCCTGGGCCAAATTCAATGCTCACTGCAAACAGGTAGACGCCACGCTCAGGGGCTCGGAAGTAGCCATGTTCAGGAAAGTAGCTGCCGCCAACATTGATGTATGTGGTGTTGAACTTCAGTGCCTGCAGGGCGGCAGTCCCTTCTGAGAAACTGGCATAGAAGGCCACAGGGGAGCCTGAAACAGAAGGAAAGCACTCAGTGACTCACCCCTCTCTCCCTTTGGTGGGAAATTAAGTTCTGAGACCTATCTGCCTTACCTTGTTAGTATCAGAAATAGGTCACTAATTCTAGATAACCCAGCTATTCCCAGTAGTAATGTTAGTGAAGTAAAGCTAAATGGCCAATTCTCATTTTCTTTTTTCTTTTTTTTTTTGAATTGGAGTCTCAATCTCACCCAGGCTAGATGCAGTGGCACACCCATGGCCACCCCAATGTTGACTTGCTAGGCTCCGATGATCCTTCCGCCTCAGCCTTCCAAGTAGCCAGAACTACAGGCGCGTGCTACCACGCTCAGCTAATTTTTGACTTATCGTAGAGAGGAGGTCTCACCAAGTTGCCTGGGCTAGTCTCAAACCCGCAGGATCAAGCAATCCACTTGCCTCGGCCTCCCAAAGTGCTGGGATTACAGGCTAAGCCAAAGAGAAAATCTAAGCCTGTTGTCTTGGCCAACACACACTTCCTTGTTTGATCCCCTTTCCTTCCAACTTTTTAAAAAAATTTTTATTATAAAGATGGGTACAATTCAGGGTTAAGTATATAAACATTGATCATGCAGGTACCCTTGTTGATGAGGTATGTCCTTCCAACTTTCTTGAGAGATAAGAATCCCTGATTGAGGAAACATGCTGAGTGCTTAACTTGCTGTTCAAGGCTACAGTCTGCAAAAGGCAGGCTGGTATAGGAACCCAAGTCTCCAACTCCCAGATGACTGCTAACTACTTGGAATTGAGATATCTAAGGGAAAGAGAGAAGCTCATAATGCGAACACTGGTGTGAGAACTGAGGAGCAGGGAAGGGCGGTTCATAGTGGCTGCTGTGCACAAGACCTTAGAAGGAAAGAGCAGGCAGACCAGGGAAGAGGAACCTTTTCAAGATGATCTTCTTGATGTACCTAATTTGTACAAGATGATCTTATTGATCTTCAGCATTTCAAAATGCTGCCCAGAGCCCTGGGATTTTAGGTGGGGAAACTAAGACCCAGAAAGGGAAAGCTTGCTGCTCTAGACCACACAACTAGTAAATGACCAAGCTGGGAGCAGACCTTGGACTTCTGGATTTCAGGTGATTTTCCCCCTTGCAGGAGCACCTTTGCCAGCCTTAGGACAGTAATGCTGAGACGGCATGCAGGCCCCAGAGTCATATGCAGGCAGAGGCAGAGGAAGTGCATACTGTGTGGAAGGTGGACAAACAGGAAGAAGCCTGCTGTGCTACCTGGCCAGTTACAGTGGGGTAGGGGAGAACAGGACCACAAGATGGGAAAAGTTGAGCCCCACTGGGGCCCTGACCATGACATCACCAAAGTCATGTCCCCCTGGGTTCCCTCAATGTTCTCTTTCTTTCCAAGAGTTGAGAACAAACTCCCCATTTCTCGGGAAGAAACCAAGGACTTAAGGAGGAGCAGTCTGCATAGTGACTTAGCAATTAGGTTCCAGAAAAAGAGCCCTGGCTCTTTGGCCCCCAATCCGGCAATAGCTTCGTGAATGACAAAACTTTGTGTATCTCTAGTTCTGGAAGATTTTCCAGGATTAGAAGAGTTGAGAATAGCTTTCCTGTTAGTGTAAGATTGTGCCAAGTCCAAGGCCCACGGCGGCCTCTGCAGTTCCTCTGGAACCCAGCAGGTGGAGCTCTCCCTCAGCCGAAGGAAGTCCTGTCTACAGCGCCCTCTGCCGATGCCGGTTCCTCCCTCCACCCCATTCGCCTGGCTACCTGTGCTAGGAATCCCTTCCGCCTTAGAGGCCTGACCCGCTAGTGCGCCCAACATGCCCCCAGAAGCAGGAAGGGTTGTGCAAACAGGAGTGCGCCTCTCTGCAGGGAACAAATTCAAGCCCTACAGCCTACCTGCAAGACAAATGAGGGGAAACTGGTTTTTAAGGAAAACTGTTTTTTTTTTTTTGAGTTGGAGTCTCACTCTGTCACCCAGGCTGGGGTGACATGGTATGCTCATGGCTGGGTTCAGGTGATCCTTCTACTTAAGCCTTCCAAGTAGCTGTATAGGTGCGTGCCACCACACCCAGCCAATGTTTTTGATTTATTGTAGAGACGTGGGCTCAGGCAATCCTCTCGCCTCAGCCTCCCAAAGTGCTGGGATAACAGGCATGAACCACCACACCCAGCTAAGGAAAACATTTTTTGAAACAACAAAATATTACAGTGGTAAACACAAATACCTAAACCCTCAGGCAAATTCTGAGAGTCATCAGCATATTGAGGTCTTGCACCACTCGCAAGAGGAAAAAAGATGGAAGAGTTAACGTAGGTGGACCCAGCCTAAGCCCTGAAATAGACCTGAGGAAATAGGAAAACATTGGCTGGTTTCCTACATGTGTTAAGCCTTGTGCTAGGTATTTGGTAAATGCAGCTGTCTTTGCACCAACCTTTTGGTGTAGTTAGTGATTCTTGCATTTTACAGAGGAAGAAACCGAGATGAGTGATCCTAGAACCTGGGCTCTTTCCACTGCTTCACACTACCTCCTGGGCCATAGGGGAAGGAGGGATACAGGGTGGCACCTTCAACAAGGCCATGACTTTCCACATGCCCAGCTGCAACAGGGTGTAGGTAGCAAAGATGGTTGCCTTGAATTTAGCCCTGTGTCTGGGTGAGGAGTAGCCCCAGCACCAAGGCCAGCCTGTGGCAGAGAGTCACTTGAGGCACAGAGCCTAGTGGTCCCCTTCCCAGGGCCTTGCTCAGGGAGGGCATGGGAAGATCAGCATGGCTTCAGCCTCAGAGCCAGCTCCCAGGCCTGGGTACTCAGGACCTTTCTGAGAGGGAGAGCCAGCACCCTATAACAGCTGGACTGGGCTCAGCGCTTCTCTGTGCTGCTCACCAGCTGTGTGAGCAGGACACCTTCCTGGTTTGAGCCCCAGTTTAACGTAAGATGGTGATGATGATGAGTGCTTCATTGAGCTGTTGGAATGATTCATCAAGATAAAGCTCGAGAAGGGCATTGCAGGGCATCTGTCACAGAGCAGTGAGATAGGTGAACTATATGTGTAGAGAGAATGTGCTCCTTTCAGGACCCACGGCTTTTCCCTGTACCGTAGTGCCCCCTTATCCACGGGGGGTGTGTTTTAAGACCCCCAGCGGATGCCTGAAACCTTGGACAGTACAGAGGTTTTTTCCCTATACGTACACGCCTATGATAAAGTTTAATTTACAAATTAGGTACAGTAAGAGATTAACAATAATAATAAAATAGAACAATTCTAAAAGTATATTGTAATGAAAGTTATGTGGTTGTGATTTCTCTCAAAGTATCTTACTGTACTTGCCTAATTTCAGACAGTGGTTGGTGCAGGAAACTGAATCAGTGAACTACTGATTCACTTCTTGTAGGGCACTGCCCATGGCAGATGGCCCCAGTCCCTGTTCACACTTTCCCTGTATACAGTGGTAAATTGGTTAAAGATACCTGGGACCAGGCATGGTGGCTCATACCTGCAATCCCAGCACTTTGGGAGGCCAGCGTGGGAGAATCACTTCAAGACCAGACGGGACAACATAATGAGAACTCGTCTCTAGAAAAAAATTTTAAAAACTAGCCAGGCATGGTGGTATGCACCTGTAGTCCCAGCTTCTGGGAAGAATGAGGTGGGAGGATCACTTGAGCCCAGGAGGTTGAGGCTGTGGTGAGTTGTGATTGTGCCACTGCACTCCAGCCTAAGTGACAGAGTGAAACCCAACTCAAAAAAAAAAAAAAAAAAAGGCATAGAAAGGGTGTGTCTTGCAAGGGAGGGAGGCATACCCTTTCTATGGCTCCACCAGCTCATGGGCTCTGGCACTGACAGTTGGTTTTGTGGCTTATGCCTCCCCGTGGGCCTGAAAGACAGATGGATCGAGGCGAAAGGTGGACCCTGAGTAGCGGTGACCAGTGACCATCCTGTTCCTTCCTCCTGGCCCCCTCAGAGACAGAATAGCTGCTGGCAGACAACCCTGTCGTCTAGAACTCACCTGCCTCCCCGAACTCGGCGCCCAGGGCACCTTGCATCTGCCCCTGGATGTGCGGTGTGTCCACCTGCTTCTTGTCCCTCTTCCGGGGAGAGTCCAGGTCTTTCTGCTGCTTCTTCCCTTTCCTGCTGAGCATGACCTGCAGTTTCCCCAGGTCCAGGCTGACGTTGGTCTCCACCAGTCCCTGGAAGTTCCCAAAGAGGCTGTGGAAGAGCCGCCGGTGCTGCTCCAAGCTGCGCCCGGTGGCGGAGAGCGCCCCGTGCAGGCCCTCGAGGGAGCTGTAGAGGGCCGGGGCCCCG